ATGTCTGGAGTTCCATGGAAAGGTTAGAACTGGAATTATAAATATGAAGTTGACAGTATTTCTGGATGGTGTGTGAAGTCATGGGACTACATGAAATAATGCAGGAAGTGAACATAAAAAGAAGAGATCCAGTTTTAAGTCTTAGGACTTTCCAATATTTCGAGGTTGGGATGATGAGAACATCCACATAAGGGGACACCAGGGAAGAAGGAAGCTGACTATGAAAGTATCTCATGCCTGGCTCTAAGTGAAAAGAATGTTTTATGAAGGACGAAGTGACAATCTGTGTCAATAATGAGAAGGCAAAGAAGATGACTGGTGATCTTCACTCTACTATTACTTGACTTGGCAGAGTGGAGATCACCAGTCACCATGACAGGCGTGGCTGGGACAAAAAACCCAACTGGAGAGGGTCCAAGAGAGAGGAAGTGAATAGAAGAACGTACGTACGTGAATACAGCAATTGAAGTTATTTCTTTCAAGGGATTTTTCTGTAAAGGGGAACAGAGAAGCTGGGTAAAAGCTAAAGGGCAGAGTGGTGGCTGTGAATATAAATTTATCCAAATATCTTGTGTTTGCTTCCTAAACCTTAGAAATGGATTCAATTTTATATAATACTTAAGTGTTGAAAATTCTTTCACACCCATGGCTCATATCATTCATAGAACACTATTTTGTTTTCATATGAGAAAAAAGTTGAGGGATCCAGCCTTGCTTGAGGCATCGAAACCTTGACATGAAAACGAGGTCCTCTCATTCTGGATTTACAATTCAGTTAAATGAAACTTCATAGATTGCTGTGTAATCCTAAATTGTTCTTTCCCAGGACAGAGGTTGTTTCTAACAAGTGCTGATGTGCAAGGCAAATCACACTGGAGAATCTCACCTTTTCAGCAAAGATGGGGTTTCCTGATAAGTGGCTCAAGTGCATAAACTCCAGATGCAAGGTTCCAAATTCTGCCAGAATACTGCTGCCTCCTGAGGCCCAGGGCCAGTTCCTTCCAATTCCACTAAACAAGAGAAGACAGTGAAGAGTTAGGTCAAAATAATTCTACTTTTCGCAATCCTTAGTCCTAAAGGTTGGTAGTTCCAACATTCTCAGTAGTAACATTGAAGAAAGGCCTATTGATCAGTTTCCATGAAACTTACAACCAAGTAAGCTTTATGAAGCAGTTCTATTTATTAGCAGATGGGGTTGCGCTAAATTGGAAATGACTAGATGGAAACATACTTTTCTTTTAAACAGAAGTGAAACACAACTTTTAATAATGACATCTCAGCTAATAGTTTATTTTGGATGGTTAAAAACTGGACACTGTTTTGTTTTCTTTGATTGATTACTGATTTCAGGCTTTGACTCCTATGTCCAAATTGAAAACTAGTGTTGATTTCAGCCAGGAAGATGTTATTGACTCTTCACTGTCTATAAATAATATTTTGTAAAATATGCATGCCATATAAAGATATACAACAAGCTCAAGTAGAATATAAAACAAAGGTAGACAAAAAAACACCCCATCATGCCCTATAATACCCCACAAAAATGCTTTCAATATTTTAATTTCAGCCCAGTTTCCATGGAATTTTACAGAAATTCCCATTACATAATAATTTTACTTAGTTAAATGATAAATTTCAAAGATTCACTAGTTATAAACTCACTCTACTGCTCTCTAAACCATCCCTCTAGCTAATGAACTTGCTTTCGTATTATTATTTTTTTCATACTATTTTACATATGTTGTTGTTGTTATGTGCCGTGGAGTTTGTTCCGACTCATAGCAACCCTGTACAGGGTTTCCGAGGCTGTAAATCTTTATGGGAGTAGAAAGCCTCATCTTTCTCCCGTGGAACAGCTGGTAGTTTTGAACTGTTGACCTTGTGGTTTGTAGCCCAATTAGTAACCACTATGCTACCAGAGCTCCTTTACATCTATAGATATACATAAAAAGGTATTTTTTTTCTAAGTACTTTCTAGCGTAGTGGTTACGAATTGGGCTGCGAACCTTAAGGTCAGCGGTTCGAAACTACCAGCTGCTCTGCGGGAGAAAGATCAGGCTTTCTACTCCCGTAAAGATTTACACCCTCGGAAACCCTGTATAGGGTCACTATGGGTCGGAACCAACTCGACAGCACTTAACAACAACAACTTTCTAAGGTACTCATTCATTCTGGGCATATATAATCTATGCTTAAAAATGTCAAGGAGACATGTATGGGCAGTTAGATTCTGAACGAGTTCTGTCTCTAAGTCTATCTTTAGGTCGAATTTGTACATCAATCAGAACAGTACGGTAAGGCTCATATTTGGTGGTGATGGTGTACTGTGGAGTTGGTTCTAACTCACAGAGACTCTGTATAGTGTTTCTGAGGCTGTAAAGCTTTATAGGAACAGAAAGCTTCATTTTTCTTTTGCAGAATGACTGGTAGTTTCGAACTGCTGACTTTGAGGTTAGCAGCCCGACTTGTAATCACTATGTTGCCAGAGGCTCCTTAGGTTGACATGTGTTGTTGTTGTTAGGTGCCATTGAGTCAGTAGTGACTCATAAAGACCCTATGTACAACAGAATGGAACACTGTCTGGTCCTGGGCCAACCTCACAATTGTTGCCATGCTTGAACCCACTGATGCTGCCATTTTCTGAATCCATCTCACTGAAGCTCTTCCTTTATTTTTTTCTGATCCTCCACCCTACCAAACATGATATCCTTCTCCAGTGACTTGTCCCTACTGACAATATGTCCAAAGTATGAGACACGAAGTTTGGCCATCCTGGCCTCCAAGGAGCACTCTGGCTGCACTTCTTCCAACACAGATCTGTTGGTTCTATGGGCAGTCCATGGCACTTTCAATATTCTCCTCCAACAGCATAACTCAAATGTATCAATTCTTCTACGGTCTTCCTTATTCATTGTCCAGCTTTCGCATGCATATGAGGTTACTGAAAATACCATAGCCTGGGTCAGGCGCACCTTAGTCCTCAAGCTGACATCTTTGCTCTTCAACACTTTAAAAAGGTCTTGTGCAGCAGATTTGCCTAACGCAATACGTTGTTTGATTTCTTGACTGCTGCTTCTGTGAGTGTTGATAGTTGATCCAAGAGAATGAAGTCCTTGACAACTTCAATGTTTTCTCTGTTGATAAGAATGTTGTTTGTTGGTCCAGTGGTGAGGATTTTTGTTTTCTTTACATTGAGATTCAACCCATACCGAAGGCTGTGCTCTTTGATCTTCATCAGTAAATGTTTTAAGTCTTCTTCACTTTCATCAAGCAAGGTTGTATCATCTGCGTATCACAGGTTCATACTTAGCGTCAGTCAAATGTTTGTCTTGTTACATAGCATATAGTGTACCTTTCTATGCATAAAAAGCATTAAAGAAACACTTCCAGAGTCACTAAAACATCTTTAACACAATACAGTAATAATAAAAACAATGTTTTGATGTGCATCACAAAGTAGTATTCATTTGTTATTGCAAACCATTGCACATACCTCAAATTTTTAACATACTAGACTCTACAGGGGTTGTGTCAGAACTATGGATTGCATGGAAGTCAGACATTCATAACCTAAAGTCTGCCTGTAATTCAACTCTGGTAGGGGTCAAAGGCACAAACTTCCAAAATTACTGACTAGGGCCCAATAAGCTTGGAGAAATACTTAAAAAAACTATCTAACCCTAAACATACACATATATGCATACAAATAAAATGGCTCTGAAACATGATCATACTCTAGACCAGAATTTATTTCTGGAGCCACTCAAAACCTCAAGTTATACTGTTGTTGTTAAATGCCATAGAGTCCGTTCTGACACATGGTGACCCTGTATAGGGTTTCTGAGGAGCAGCTGGTGAGTTTGAAGCACTGACCTTAAAGTGCAAATGACCTTGCAGTCCAGTGTTTATCCTATAGGGCCACACAAGGACTCAAGACATGAAATAATTTAAATAAAGAACACAATTATTCTTTTGACCAATAGTTCCCTTTCAGATACGTGAAAGCCCACATTTTGGCTTTAGTTCAGCTGAACATTTACTGCTTGCTTACTATTGCTAGACACCATGTATGACATTGGGTTAGAAGGATGGCTATGATGAATACATCATTCTACTCTCAGAGAGTTTATATTGTAATGGCAAAGAAAGATCTGGCCATAAATAATTCCAGCAGACATGGAAGATGCCAAGTTACATGTGTGAGGAATTTTTTTGTGCATCTAGATTCCTGGTGTGGTACTGTAGGACAAGCACTGGAATGCAAGGTCACTTGAATAACAGGGTCAGTGGTTCAAACTCACTAGCTGCTCCTCTAGGAAACCCTACACAGGGTTGCTACGAGTCAGAACCAACCTGACAGCACTTACCAACAACATATTTTGAGGTTTGAGTGACTTCAGAAATAAATTCTGCTCAAGAGTATGATCATGTATCAAGATCCACTTTATGTGTGTATATATAAATATGTATATTATGTTGTTGTTGTTGTTAAATGCCGTTGAGTCGGTTCCGACCCATAGCGACCCCGTACAGGGTTTCCGAGGCTGTAAATCTTTACAGGAGCAGAAGGCCTCACAGGATCACTATGGGTCAGAACCAACTCGAGGTCACTTAATAATAACAACATATATGTATATGTTTAGGAGTAACTATTTTTTAAAAGTATTTCTCCAAGATGGTTGGGCCCTGGAAGTTTGTGACTTCGGCCCCCTACTAAATGGAATTACAGGCAGACTTTAGGTTATAAATGTTTGACTTCCCTGCAACCCAAGTCTAATGGCACTCAGCAACAAGAGACTGAACATGTGATCTAACATGATGGTATTACAGAAAGCCTTCTATTTGGAAAAGATTCCTAAATTAAGTCCTGTAGGATAAGGAAAACTTAGTGAGGAAAGAAAGGTGAGAGGGAGAAACTGGCCAATGAGGGAACATGGAAGCAGGGGACTAGCTAGGCAGGTTCTGAACAGCAAGAAGAAAGACGATGTGAGAAAAGGCTATGAAAGATAAGTGAGGCCAGGTTTTGGAGGCTTGTGGCCTTCTCATTTTCTTCTCTTTCTAAGTTGGACCCCATTTAAAGCTGCTTTTGGTATTCCTAGATTTCCTATTTGTTCTTTGCCTTATATCATTTTGAACTCTGAGTGAATGTTTTCAGTCCTACCACTGCCTGTTGCCAGGCTAATGAAAAATGCTGGAGAAAAGGACAAAAAAAGGAAAGGTATCTGAAATTTCATACTAGTCCAACTCTTATTCCTTATTCCCTTTTAGATTAAACCGTAAATTTATTCCAGGCACAGGTTTACATGTGGTAAACCAACAAAAGGTAAACAGAAATAAAAGATAAATTCATTTATTTTAGAAAATGTTCTAAATTTATTCATATCTAGAAATGTGAATCAATTTTCATTTTCATGGTTGGCAAAGTAACATACTATCATCCAAACAGAAAGAACAGCTCCTTTAAAATTTTATTAACATATGGTAAATGCACAAAAGAATTGGCCACAACTTTGTTATGGCTTTGGTTTGTTTTTTTTTTCATTCCACCCATCACCAATCAATGTCAGTGGAACGATCAAATAAAACTACACATTTCAATGTTATAGAGAAACTATTAAAAACAAAACTAAAACATAAAGCACTCTCTGGGTAGGGGGTGATGACTTCCTCAGGGAGGAGAGGGGAGAATGCTGAAGAAGCTCAACACACTTCCCAGATCAGGCAGAGATTCTTGGTTCAGGGTATTAAGAGCATGTTCAGATATGAAAGCTAAGCGGTAAATGTGGACTAAACTAATATAAAGATTACTTTTGGATTATCCATGCATTTGTTATTTAGTTAATCAAGAGAAAATCAGAGCTATACTAAAAAAATTCAATATAGTAAAAAATATTAAGATTTAAAATGGGGTTATATATTCTCTTGTTCCTTGTACACATTCTACTGGGTAGAAAATAGCACCCTTTTCTATCACTATTTAATTATACAGGAAGCTAGAACATCAAAAACT